GGCCAACAAGGAATTCCCTTTTGTTTCAGGCAAAGCTCAATGATAGTGCCCGTCACTAGAGGGAAGCACGGCCATGTGCAAACGTCCTTACACCGCGCTGGAAAAGGCTGGAAGCGCAGCAGCCTTTTCCCTCCTGTGCCCCAGTTGGTAGCTGAAACCATTCTGCAGGTCCTCCTGCACTGCCCACTAGACACCCAATAAACCTTTCCTAGACTCCAAATTGCCGTGAAATACTGGTAAAATAAAGCCAATGCAATCCTCAGAAGTGGCCCGTGTGGTTTTTCTGTATGCTCTATCCCCTCCCAGTCGTGTCCTGCCTTCCACACCACACTGGAGTTCTGGTTTCTAGAACACAGCTGCACTTGCTCCTGCACACACCCAGAGTTACCTTAAACTTCCGAAGCAATTGTTCAATTACTTGTCTTGTTCTCATCTGGCTGTTAACCCTTATTTTGGTTTCTGATCCAAAAGCTGGAGTGAAGACTGACGTCTAGGAAGAAAAACAGCAGCAAAAGGGATGAGTACAAAGGCTGCAGCAGTCCATGGCTGGGGCTCAGAAGGATATAAACCAGCAGTCAGAGCTGGGACACCACGAGCTGCCAGCTGTGCTGTTGCCATGAAGCAAGAGCAGTTTGTGCCCTCCAGAGAGCATCCATGGTGTACACGAGTGCCAGGGACCTCCACCATGCAGTGGCCACATGCACCTGAAACCCACCTTCTGGAGCAGACCCTGAAAACAAACACCAGGGGCTGAGCCCAAAGCCCAGTGACACCAGCCTGGCCACATGGTAGGGCCAGTGGGAAGAGTCCCTGGTGCCTAAGGGGGTGCAGGAGATGTCCAGAAGCTTGCTGGACATGTTCATCTGTCCCAGTCCCCAAGCTGAAGTAATGGAAAAGTTTTTGTACCTCATAGTTGTAGAAGTGGCCGTTAATTGAAAACCTGTGAGTTTCTCCTTCTGCTCTGACTCTCGTGGGGTTCTTGGCCCTCCTGCACACAGCCGCCGCACGGCTGGCGGCCCGGGGCAGGGTGGCACAGTCATGTTCCTGCTCGCCCTGGGACCTCAGAGTGCAGCTTCCGTAGCGGGAATAACCTGGACAGAAGCAAACAGCATCAGCGTGTGGTCCAGCTGCTCTGCCCCCCCGGCCAGCAGCCCCACAGCAAGAACATTCTTAGTGGAAGGATTTTTTTTAACCATTTTTGGGTGAGCGTAAGGGGAGCAAGGCATAGGCACAGGACGCAGAGCAATAGGCTGTGTGCAGCGGCCACAGTTCCCTGTTTTCTTCACTTCTTGGGAAAGGTTTCTTGGATGATGTCACTGCCCCTTAGCACGAGCTGCTTGCAACGTCATCTGCGCTGCAATTATTCCCCTCACCACTCCGATGTCACTGTTTCACTAGCATGTCAAAGATATTCAATAGAGACAAAAAAAAATCCCTTTCCTGGCAGGGAAGGCCTAATGGTCAAATTATTTCTGCACAGTCATAAAAAAGGAATTTTCAGTGGACGTAGGAGCATCAACACTAACTTGGCTCAAGGTCTGGCTTTTCTTCAGCAGATTTCAGTGTCTCCCCGCTAATATGATGTAGATCATCAAATTCTCCCCAGCGGGTCATTCCCCTGCAATACACAACACACATTTAGAGTTGATTATTCCACAAACTCAGCGATTTCAGTTCCTCCTGTGGCCAAGCTCCATCTAATACATCACTACATCTGTTCAAAGCCTTTCTAGAACACTACTTGACTTCCACATGGCACATGAAGCCAGAATTGCCATTTGTCCCATAATAAAATTAAGTAGTCAAATGAGTTATGACTAGGAATCCCAAACGCAACATATGGCTATTTCGAGCTGTCAAACATCGACCACGAGACCCCTTCAATAACCTGCAGCAATTTTTCATCCATTTTGCAGCAATATCCTGGATTAATCACATGGAGGAGACCAAGCAGGCATGCAGAACACACACACACTGTGGTTTAAGTAGTCAGAGATGCAGAACGTCTGTTAGACTGATGGGGACATCAAAGATGAAATGACCACACCAGCCCCTCGTGCTACCCAAGCCAGTTCTGTAAAGAGCAGGGAATTGCATCCAGCCTGTTTGCAAACCCAGCTTTTTTTCTGTCACTATTGCCATAAATCATTGCGTGAACTCTCTAGCAGGAAGGCTCTGGCCAGTTACTGCTCTGACTGAGAATAAACCAATTTGTAGAAAAACATTTAAAATTCATTCCCTATATATATTTAAAACAATATTCAACTAACTCCCAAGAACACACCAAACGACCATCTCCCTCGTGTTCCACACATTTAACAAGTTCATTTAAGATCAAACAGCCCAGCTGCTCTGCTTGCCTTCGAGCATGTCAGGGCAGCTTCACGTTTCCGTGATGGTGAATTAGTACTTACTGTAACATTCACATCTCCACCAGTCCTAAGTTTTTTAAGAACCAACAGGCAAAGCCTGACTTGAACTACCAGACTGGACCCTGTCCTACAGGCCACATGCTCCCCATACCAGGGGATCTGGTCAAGGTGAAGAGCAAACACCAAATCAGCCTCAGACTCAAGTTCTTCTCTGGATACTCCTGCCAGCTTCCATCCCTGGATTTCCAAAGCAAGAGACAGGGAGGAAGATGGACCCTGACTACTGCAACTCCCCAGCTGCAATGAAAGTCAAACTACACCCACAATTCAACATATGCAATCTAAGACAACAGATAATTAAGTAAACGAGCTCCCAGATACAGGATTTAGCAGGGAGTCATTCAAGGTAAATATTGGCTCAGCCTCCATATTACACATGACTCAGCTTCGACTCACCATATACACTCCAAAATACACCAACCAAGGCTGGAGAAGTAGTGTTCAAACAGAAAGAAGAAATATTTTATGAACTTCCATCAGTTTTAAAAGATATGGCCCAACCAGCCCAAGTCAGATCAGCACAACGCACTCAGATGGGACATGTCATAGGCAGGAGCCTGAAGGAACAGCCCATCTCTATTTTTAAGGGCTTTTAAAAATATCACTTTGCATGGTCAAAACCAGTATTCCTTTCCTGGTTTGAACTTGGCCCTGTGAAGCAGCAGTGTCTGAAGCACCTGGGGAAGGATCCTGCATGAGGCACTCAGCACTAACCTACCACCTCCCTGCTCCATGCTGTAGCACGTGCACCAACGTGACGTCTTTCAGGGGCTACCAAACCTATTAGGTGTAGATGACACACGTGGGTTTGTTGGGTTTGGGGTTTTCTTGTTACTTTTAGTTTGTTGGTTTTGTTTGTAAATTTTTCAATACATAAATCTCGGAGTTCTTGCACAGGTGCAGTCAGTATAGACAAGAGCAGCCTTGTCCACCTTCTCAACTGCTCTGAAGCTCTAAGACAGACAAAGATGCTACAAAGATTCATCTCCCTGCCCAGCAGAAGCTGTTGAGAGACCACAGCACTTAGTACTCTGCAATCAACCGCCACAAGCTTTGGGGAATTTGGGATACACAGCCAGGCATATCCATTGATGATATCCATATCCACCTACATGAGCTGCCTGGAAATACCAGTCTGCCTCCTTCCTGGGGAAGTTCATGCGTTACCTTTTACTAGGGAACAAACCCACATTCTCCGTTGACTTCAGGGTTACAAAGGAAGGTATCTGCTTCTCATCCTGAATTTTTAAGCGGATAGGATGTCGGACTCCCCAAAAAATTGACAAGATTCCTTCGAGAAATGGTTTGCATCCTTCTCGCTGGAAAAAAAAAGGCATAAGGATTGCTGCATGGTAATTGAGTAATAATAATAGCTCACCCCTCAAAGTAACAGGGAGATGATGGAATCACTGAGAGTGACACAGCCCTGGAACAGGTCACCTCCAGATGCTGTGCCATCTCCAACTTAAGATATTTCCTCAACAGCTAAAAGTGCAGCTGGCCTCGTCTCGTGGCAGCGTTAGTCTGACTTGGACCAGGAGGTTTTTTGTGACCAACGTGTCCGTAACTCCATACAATTACCAGGCAAATCCTCTTTGTTCCACCTGGATGACCAGCTCTGCTTAAACCAGGGGGCTACCAAGGTGGTAAAGGGGAACAACCACCACTGGTAAAGGAAGCAGCAGCAGTTAATGAAGTGGTCCTTGACACAGTCCACAGCATCAGTGCA